ATCAAGATTAATCCGGGAATATATTTATTTTTAATAGAAAAGTTTGATTGTCAATTTTTTATAATCTTTCTTTGAAATCAAACATATTCCTTAATACTTAAAAATTATAAATTTTTATACAAACATCACTAATATTTATATTTAAATATAAAGCACTAGGCTTTTAGGGCGCTTCCTGGGGTCATTTTAAGTCTTATAGAAAACGTGGGCCCAATCAGTTCAGTCGTTTTCACGTTTATTGGATACAAACAGACAAACACCCACCCAGCCAAGCAAAGTATTTAAATATAGATATTTACATCTATATAAGTTTTAGATATTTACTCCTAAAGTAAATAGATATTTAATCCTTTAATATTTAGTTATTAAACTTAAAGATTTAGATTTAAATATTAGATTCTTAATCCTAAACTATTTAGATATTTAATCCTAAACTATTTAGATATTTACTTCTAAAATATTTAGATATTTACTCCTAAAATATTTATTTGCCGACACTTAAAATATTCAGATATTTAATCCTAAACTGTTTAGATATTTAATCCTTATAATTAGTATATTAATAATGTTTAATGCTTAATCCTAATATATTTAGATATTAAATCCCAAAACATTTAAATATTTAATCCTAAAATATTCAGATAAAACCGTGTAAAATATTTAGGTATTTAAACATATAAACACTTAAATATTTACATCTAAAATATAATCTATTTATATTCTAAAGTACTCTCATTGATGTTGAAGTGTGGCGAGCAGCTGTACTATTTAAACTATAATAATAAAACAGAAAAAATGCCCTCCCTCCCCCCTAATATAAAGAAGAATTAAAATTATATAAATAGAATATATAGAAGAATAATTTTTTTGTGGAGATTGAAAATTGATTTGCTTAAAGTGATCAATGAAAAGGAGAGAACTATTATGCAATTTCAAGAGTGGCATGTACTATTCAACACGATACCCTTTAAAGATTAGTCTGATTGGAATAAATGAAATATCAATGATTTCTTCTGAAAAACTTGG